TTCCGCTAAGGTTTAAAATGCTAATACAAACTTGTTTGAAGTTTATTTATGCGATTTTTATTCAATATATGAATTTTATACAATGTTTTAGTTATTTATAATAAAACATTGACATTTGGATTTGTATCTACTTCATCCCGAAGTTGTTTTACAAAAATATCTAAACCCTTCCCTACATATTTATCTGTATTATAACGATCTATGGGTTCAACTTTAAGAAAAAGTTTTTTTTTTTTCCAACAAGTTTCATGCATTTAACCCATTTTGAATGAGTACATAATCTTACGAATATTGCATACACAAAATAAATATATACCTTCCAATTCAAAAACAAAACAAAATTGAGAATCTGCTATTTTCTTTTGCTGCCAAGATTTTATTGGATCATCCTTCGAGATTTACATCCTTGAGTGGTATTCTTCTCAAATGGTCTGATTATGTACTATAATTATGATAATACTCGATACAGACGTTCATTTTCAAAATCTAGTATAAAATAGCTCTCTTCAACAACTAAAATACATCACATTTTCACTCTTAAACAAGCAAATAAGAGAAGTCAGAAAGAAAAAATATGAAAACTTTTTTTGGAGTTGTGGTGCTTAATTTCCTTTTTCTTATATTATCTTTAGCTAGTCGCGAAAGATTTTTGTTTACTTCTGAGTTTGATGTGGCTAAAAAAGTTTCTAGCAGTCCAAGCGATGTAACATCTTCACCTATTTCATCGTTTATCAGAGCAAATATTACAAAAAGAAAGGTTACAAGAGGTCCAAGCAACATAACATCTCCATCTACCCCAACGTTTATCAGAGTGGATGTTGAAACAAAGAGAAAGGTTCCAACCGGTCCAAGCAACACAACATCTCCACCTAGTCCATTTTTCAGAGCAGATATTGGAACGAAGAGAAAGGTTCCAACCGGTCCAAGCAACGCAACATCTCCACCTAGTCCATTTTTCAGAGCGGATATTGGAACGAAAAGAAAAGTTCCAACTGGTCCAAGCAACGCAATATCTCCACCTAATCCATTTTTCAGAGCGGATATTGGAACGAAAAGAAAGGTTCCAACCGGTCCAAGCAACGCACCATCTCCACCTAGTCCATTTTTCAGAACGGATATTGGAACGAAGAGAAAGGTTCCAAGAGGTCC